TACTGGTCGTTCCAGTAGCAACTGTTGTCCCACTTTTATCCATAACCTCAACCTTCAATGTTCCGGACTGGTCACCAACAACTTCTATGGCGTAATTTACATATCCTTTATTTGAAGCGAAGTCAACGGTTGTTGTGACAGTGATGTCATCTATGTATGTTTTGGGTGTAGTATAGAGTCTAACATGACGATGTATTCCGGCGTAATTGAAGAAGTCCATCTGTAAATTCTGCACAAAGTATCCTTCAGGATATTTAGATGTATCTGTTTTGTAGGAAATTGTTCCAGGTGGAAGGGTGGTAGGACTGAGGGTGTTATTTACGGCTACTGTCACATAATTCGGACCATTGACGACAAGGAGGGCGTTGACATCTGCTTCAAAAGGAAGATGTCCTCCGTCATGTCTCACGGCTTCTATACCGTTGACGTAGACGATGGCATAATAATGAGCACTACCAAAACGAAGAACTATACGGCGATTTTGTGATACGTTCGAAACAAAAAATTCCCTATCATACCATGCCCAACCAACAAAATCTCGTATGTTTTTGTCCTCTGTGACGTCATTGTAACTGGACGGTACAGCCATGGGTATAACTGGTCCTGTAGTAGAAAGGCGCCCTGAATACCATTTCTTTTCAAAACCAAGATTCCTGTTTGGAGAAGCATCTATCCGGAAATTCCACATTCCATCCAAACTTTGTACATGACGGCTCTCCGAGCCTCTTGGATATAACATTCCTTTCCCCCATACCACAGGTAAGAGAATAGCCAGAGCGAACAAAGGTATGCACCTTCCCATCGCAAATTTTATACCAAATAATAAAAAAAATCCTATACTTATCAACACACAATAACATATGGCCATGAACCATATGGAGTGTCAAAGTTTAATGATAAGTTATCTCCATTTACGTATCTTCGATTGTTAGAAGACGAATGAACGGCCACTTCTGTAGCCACATATATTCTTATCACAAAATAAAACAAACCATTGACATATTTATTACTGGTAACACACACATACTCCTACAGAATACACAGATTACAGTTTATTGTCAAATACCTGTAAAAAACGCGCGTCGACATGATCAGTCATCTGGAACCACTGTATTCAGCAAGCTGTTACCAATACACAATGAAACATAAATTACTACTTGATTTCTGTTGAAGGGAAAAACAACTATTATACGATTCTAACTTGACACACCTTCTGATTTACTGCATCGTGTAACACTTTGGTCATTAAGACAATATTGGGTATTTAAAAGTTTTTTTGCTTCACTTTGTCTATAGAGTCAAATCACACGTACTTAATGAACGTGAATGATATATTTATATATAACAAAACAGTGATATTTTGGTACAATCCTAACCATTGTCAAAATATACATCAAACTCTATCCGTTTATTGACCTATGGTTGGTAGACCAAATAAGGTAATGTTCTCCCTCATGGTCTTGGGAAGGTTTATTCCATATTTGGGATGGAAATTAACGTCAAGGTCAATCTAAGACGTGCAGACATTAGGTGGTTATAAAGGAGGGTGTTGAGCGAGACTGGTCAGGGCTCACCCAGGTATTGCGAACAGCTTTTGTTTATTGAGAACGAGGGAACTTCGAAGCCATTCCAGCTTAACAATAAAGTTGTAGGAACCATTTCACCTGTAGTGTTATATATTACGATCACGAAGAAAACAAACACAAGGAACAATAGTTATATAATTTACTGCCATAGATCGTCATCGTTTTAACCCCAATGTCAGTCACCAAGACCATCATTTGTCACAAAGACAAGAAAATACATGCCACTAAGACTACCATTTGCCATCAACGACAAGAAAATGATATCACCAAGACTTCATTTGTCACCAAGACAAGAATTATTAACCTAGGACTTTTATTAACCTAGGATTTTTATGACATTATACATATCGCTTCTATACTTCAGGAACAGCAACTAACAACTTCATAATATCTACTTAAATACCCTACGTTAAAGGAGCGAAGTCGCTAATATTTGGGACCTAGAAATTGACACAAATGGGTCGCAACACATACAATAATGTAATATGAATGTATATAAATTGATTTACATTCAAACGTTTCTGTTTTTACTGTAATTTTTAATCAGTTAGGTTCGGCGAAATACGCCAGTATTCTCAATCGAATTTCAATCTCTAGCGTCTGGTTATTCCAGCCTACGCCGATATTATTTATTAGGCTTGCTCTCCAGATAAGAATATAGCGTCACCGTTTGACATGACTTGTGGAATATGCCTAGCCTCGTTTTTCGAGTCCCTTATCACAAATAGCACTGAAACGCATTATGGTACACGATTCGTGTACCAATTGTAAAATGTTTATTTTGTCTTAAATATTGGATATCAGAAGGCCATCTTTTCCCGGTAAGATCACAACATCAATGTTGATTTAAACCGACAAATAAATCTTGTTTTCAATGTCGAAGATTTTGGATGATATTGAGTTAGAGACCTAGCTACTTTAAACTATAACAAACCCACCAAGCATGGTTTCCGGACAGTCACATGCACATCACTCATGGCTTTATTGTTGGACAACTAGATCACTTTGTTGAATTCAATGCATGCTTTTAGTCTAGACAATGAATAAACAATCTATAGCAGTAAACAAGGGTAATGAGTACATTAAAGGGATAATACATCACCACCATGGTTTTGTGACATGACCATTTATTCAAAGTTGATCACTAACATGCATTGAAGTTGCCTCTAGTTTTGCTGATAATAAAATGTTTATCTATTTGATATATATCCGTTTTAATTTAGTTCAAGTTTAGTATTTGTCCCCGTCCGTCACATATGATTTACAGCTGCAATAACGAATCTACTGCATCCGGAATTTTCCCTTGGTCAGATTTTTAAAAGTAATTGCCACATTAATCAAGTACTGTACTCACCACTACTCACCATATTAGGGAGAACTTATATTACTTTAATTTAAGACGTAAGTTGCAGTACATAAAATTGTCATTTCAGTAAAACTATTACTGTAATTATAGAACGCGTCGCTAGCAAACGAGTGGGAACATGTTATTACTGCTCCATTAAGAGTATACACATGATGTTCGGAATAATTAACTTTCAATTTTTGGTGTCATCCTTTTCCCATAAATTTGTGTTGAATTGAACTCGTGACTGCAAAAGAGCACTGACAAGGAGGAACCACACCTGAAAATCCCGATTAACGTCTCGGCCATCACTGGACCTACAGATTACCGAGCCAACGTTTTACTCACTGAGCCACCGTGCCCCCCCCCCAACCAAAGCCCCGATCACCCCATACTAGTTCTCACTACTTTCTGGGGAATGTTGCTCAAACTGTGTGTGAACCTAGTAGCAAGTGTTTAGGACCTGTTTAAAAAACACCATGGACGGATTATGACTGGCTTAGACGGGAGAGGTGCTATAGAACTTTGAACCTGTTCAAAATTGTCCCCGTCCTACAATTAAATTGGTGACACAAAAGTTGGATATACCTTGCCGTACTTCGATCCTACTCGGGACGTTTAACAACGTGACGTCTTGTCAAGGGATGCGATGGGTGTATGTCTTGATCTTTCTTTAGGGACATCTGCTGCCCTCCATCATCTACATGGGTAGAGTATGGAGATCTACAGGGTTCAGGGACAGGATAACGATGTGGAGTTTGGGGATCTTTGGGCGGTACTAGTAGCTGCTTTCCCACGGGGAGTCCTTCTGGCACTTCTCTTTGGATGCACGGTAAAACACTGGAGGCAAATGTAGTAGTTTTCGAATATCTTGATCTTCACAGCTTGAACCGTGGAACAGCAATGAGCGAACGCACAAAGAACGAGACGCACACGAACTGAACTGTCTCTGAACGAGGTGATCGGTTAGACACTAGTTAGAACTAACTAGAACCAGTTGTGGATGTATTGGACGAGATGGACTGTTAATGAACGAACTATAATCTATTATTAACAATATTTACACAATCTACCACCACCAAAACGCGTTTTACGATTCTTTTGAGAACATGGGAGCTGAACACATTCTGAATATGTGAACGTGTAGTATGTTTTCTTATAGGTGGAGTCCTTACTGCGCTGCTATGGCGACGGAGAATGATCCCAAAGCGCGTCAAGCTCGACCGTCAAGCTCGACATAAGCGTGGTAAAAGCGTGGTGGAAACGCCAGCTATCGTGATGTGGTCGCCAATGATCGCCGAGTTACGGCGGTTGTTTTGAGCATGTTCAAAGCAAACACCAAGGTTCTGCGATCTGACTTAGACAAGCGTGGTAACATCTCTATAAACGTAGTACATACGCGGTTCACATGTGGCAATGACGCTGAAACATGACGTTGCTATGATGATTGCACTGTTGCACGATTGCACCACGTCCTCATTGGGCTCCCAGTGCGTCTATGATGATCTTAAGAGTTCTTAATTCGACCATGGCGCGATTACCAAGCTTACATTACGCGCATATGGCGACCATGCTTTTCATGCAAGACTTCATCGTGTGTATGTTATGTTCATCTTGAAATTTCCAAAAATATGACCGGCCTATATAGTTGCCGTGATCACGTGGTAGAAATGCACGCGCAATCTTGATACACGTAGAAGACGTGTGGTAAGAACCCCATGAGCGGGGGTAGACCGCCGCCGGATTGCCGATGATCGCCGTTGCCAAGCCATTTGATCTTAATAGAAAGCCATAAGCGCGGAGAGGTCTTGGCGGGCGCGGTAAGTACGCGTTTTGTTTTTGAAGTGAGGGTGAGGGTGGGAAGCTTCTCAATAGCAATAGGGGTCTGTCTTTATGTCCCAAGCAACAACACCTGACATTTTTTTAAAAAAGAACCCACCCCGCAATAAAATATATAGCCTGTAGAGTTCCAACAAAATGTGAATGGAACCACCGGACGACAATATGCGTACTTATTAAATAATACGGAAAAACAATTTATTCATAGATTTTTATACAAGCAAGTTAATCTATAAATAACAAAGTCTGTGATCTCCATTAAACGTGGAATTAAACATAGCATTATATCTATTCCTTACTAATTGGGCAGCTGCTTTAGGTTGTCGTTGCCTTGTCAGAATACCTTTCTTATTTCCAACAACTCGTGTTGGGTTTTGTGCAGTCATGAAATCAGCAAAATTCCAAATAAGCTCACCAACAAGGAATTGTCCTATATGCTGGTCAAAGGCTTGGTGATATTGAGACAGGACCTCTATTTGGTATTCTTCAGTAAAAGCCACACTTGGTTGGCGGTGCAACCCGGCTACTGTACCAGCTCCAAATTCTGATACCAACAACGGCTTATTATAAAGCTTTCTCCATTCCATAAAATTAGTGTTAAGATGTCTCTGAATGACTTCTGGGTGCCCAGTATCGCTGTACCATCCATAATATCTATTGATCATAATAACATCGACAAATTGAACACATTTATCATTGTTATAATCTTTACTGCAAGTAAAACTAACAGGTCTTGTTGGATCGAGCTGTTTGGTATAACCTATCACAGATTTGAAGTAAGGAACCGCGTGTGCGGCGTCTGATTCAGGTTCGTTGGCTACAGACCACATACATACTGCTGGTCGATTTTTATCTCGCCGGTACATCTCTGACATTACCTCTAAATGATGACTTAATGACTCGTTTCCAAAATTGTGAGACTTGATACCAACCCCAGGACTCTCGTCAATTATAACGATCCCCTGCTGATCTGCTTGATCCAAAATTTCTTCAGCATAAGGATAATGAGATGTCCGAAAGCAGTTGACTCCCAACCATTTCAACATATTAAAATCTTTCGCTATTAAGGCGTAATCTAATCCCTTACCTCGAATATCAGAATCTTCGTGTTTGTCAACGCCATGGCAGTAAAAGGGTTTATTGTTTATCAGGAACTGGTCGGAAGTGACGTTAACAACTCTTATACCAATAGGAAGACGATATACGTCCAGGTCAGTGCCAGTTAATGTTACTTTCAGTGTATATAAATAGGCTGGATTGTTTACATTCATGGTGTATGGCCACCACAATTGAGGATTGTCCACTTGTAATGTGCCCTTACTGGTCGTTCCAGTAGCAACTGTTGTCCCACTTTTATCCATAACCTCAACCTTCAATGTTCCGGACTGGTCACCAACAACTTCTATAGCGTAATTTACATATCCCTTATTTGAAGCGAAGTCAACGGTTGTTGTCACAGTGATATCATCTATGTATGTTTTGGGTGTAGTATAGAGTCTAACATGACGATGTATTCCGGCGTAATTGAAGAAGTCCATCTGTAAATTCTGCACAAAGTATCCTTCAGGATATTTAGATGTATCTGTTTTGTAGGAAATTGTTCCAGGTGGAAGGGTGGTAGGGCTGAGGGTGTTATTTACGGCTACTGTCACATAATTCGGACCATTGACGACAAGGAGGGCGTTGACATCTGCTTCAAACGGAAGATGTCCTCCGTCATGTCTCACAGCTTCTATACCGTTGACGTAGACGATGGCATAATAATGAGCACTACCAAAACGAAGAACTATACGGCGATTTTGTGATACGTTCGAAACAAAAAATTCCCTATCATACCATGCCCAACCAACAAAATCTCGTATGTTTTTATCCTCTGTGACATCATTGTAACTGGACGGTACAGCCATGGGTATAACTGGTCCTGTAGTAGAAAGGCGCCCTGAATACCATTTCTGTTCAAAACCTAGATTCCTGTTTGGAGAAGCATCTATCCGGAAATCCCACATTCCATCTAAACTTTGTATATGACGACTCTCCGAGCCTCTTGGATATAGCATACCTTTCCCCCATACAACAGGTAAGATAATAGCCAGAGCCAGCAAATGTATGCACCTCCCCATCGCAAATTTATACAGAATAATTATAAAAATGGACTACTTATTACCACACAACAACATATGGCCATGAACCATGTTGAGTCTCAAAGTTTAACGATAAGTTATCTCCATTAAAATGTCCGTATCTTCGATCACTTGATGTATCAATGAGTAAGATTATCACCAAAGTTGTTCCTAGTTTTGCTGACTGTTTATCTATTTGATATAAATTCTTTTTAATTTTAGTTGATAAAATTTTCTTCAAGGACATTATTTATCACTGTCCTTCACGTATGATTCACAGCTGTAATAACCAATATATTGCATCAGCAATTTTAAAAGTAATCGCCACCCTATCCAGTTACCGCAATCGCAATATTAGTGATAACTTATTATTACCTTAATTTACGATGTGAATTGCAGAACACAGGATTGTCATTTTAGCAAAACCATTACTGTAATGACATAACGCTACCCTAATCGAACGAGTGTAGGACTAAGACATTTTATTACTGCATCAGGTGTATTCACATGATGTTTGGAATAATTACCTTTCGTTAAGCTGAATGTCACATTGTTGGTGTCATCTTTTCTCCATAAGATGCTAAAGTTACTCTCTCTCTAGAATACTTGATCCTGCATGTGTTTTGTACGGGTACCTGTGCGTTTTGCTTGCTTTGAATTATTACAAACCGATACAAACAGAGGCTTGGTCACTAAGTATATTTTTAGCACTCGTGTCTGATCATTTGGAACTCTTAGAGACTGCTCATTCGGGTTTAAATAAGAAATCTTAATAACGCGGTAACGGACAAACCATCGGGGGCACCCCAATAACCACAAAACTAATCTTATATCGTTACAGTGGATCCCTTCTGATTGTATGCTCCTCCTTCTCTCTATTAGTGATTACATTTTCTCAGCTAGCAGCCCCCCCCACCCCTTAGATGTAACAGACTATGAATGTAGTTCTATTTTGATTGACCCTTTGGTCTAGAATTGACGAGGGGTGGTTGAATTTTCATGATTTTGAGGCTGATGGATCATGAAGTTAAACGACAAGTACAAGGGTTACCGCCAACAGAAATGACGTCACAACTTATAGATTAATGTTGGCCAGGCCTGCAAAAATCGAAAATATTCTTATCAGATGATGGTCGCATGTTGTGGCCGCTCTTTGTGACTATTAAGAATACCATGATCAAAATGTTAAAAACAATGTTAAAGGCCATGAAATGTCATGTATTTAACATTGAAGTCATTGGGGACTAGTCTGATTTATTCTGGATGAAATCATGACTGACAACAACCATAAAAGAACCTCTTAAACAAAAGAACATATAACCGATGACTTATGAATATACCACGTTTACAGGAAGGTATATACACCGGAAATTATTTGTTCAAATTTTGAGAAAATCACGCATATTGGTCATAAATATTATTGATTTTTCCGGACCACCACTTTAATAAGTGATTAAAAACTTTTCGATATCCAATTAATTACCATCGCGTCTCGCTGAAAGCAGAAACTTATTTCTCTGTCAATTGCCCGGCAAATTTGTCTGTGTCTGAGCTATCCCGCTTTGGTGTTATCGACAGATCGATCAATCAACTTCTCACCTCCTTCCAAATAGTGTTGTTTCTTCTGACAAAGTTTTGGTTTGCAACCTTAGAACATACACCTATAAGATTTCGTACCCGGGTGGATTGTGCACACCGCCTCCCTCCAAACAAACCCCCACAACCCAACGTACAACGGGAATGTTTTCCTATTCCTATATTTTGATCTTTGATAATAGACGCGAGCCTTCTTATGAGGTAGGATGTGGGTTGGGTGGTCGAATGCTCCCTGTTTGTACGTGACAAGGAGTAGTCGCCTGTCCAATCTTGTGGGTTTTATCTGGATCCCCCAGTTACCTCTCCCAAGCGAATTATCAAAAAATAGAATTGAACCATCGGATTGACGTTAAATTCCCCCCCCCCCCCTCTCTCTCTCTCACTTATGAGGTATGCCTCTATTACATGGTGAAAAATAGTGTCATTTAAGTCTTATAATGATATAGCAGGTGAGTCTAAATAACTATATATGGACCGTGAGTTCTTAACGTCCATCGGTAATTCATTCCGGTCTGTTGGAGCAACATGTGAAAATCACTTCTAGACGAAACGAACCGTTTGGGATCTTGATACGGTGTAGGCTCCAGTAATATCGAACCATAATTTAGAGCACTGCCGTTCATGCAGCGAATGGCAACCGTGCATTTGTAGAAAATGTGAGTCTTGAAATGAAATGAAATGAAATGGGGTTTAACGTCCTACTGTTCTTCTCCGAACTGGGCTAATGGACACGGACATACGTTATACAGTGTGCTATGAGGGAAATTTTGCCCGGACAGCGGCACTACGGCCCACATTTATATCGAATTCCAACTGTCAAGGGGTCTTTTACGTGCCCGCCAATGTGTTGACGGGACCTCGGTTTTTCGCCCTTGTCAGGCCCTCCGTCCTGCATCACTAACAAGCGGGAACCACGCCGGAAAATTTGGACGGTATTAAAACGTACCAGAGCTTAATCTGTTTTAAAATTAATATGTGTATTCAAAAATTAGTATAATTAAATCTGACCTATGACTCCGCTTTAAGGGTGTTTGTGATAAGAGACAAAGATTCAAGTTTACTCGATAAGTCGGCATTGGCTACCCACACCTTTAATGTTGGGTTATTTTTGGTTGTGGTGCTACCTACATCTTACTGGAGGTGCGCGGTGGTGGCAAAACTGTTGATAAATGAAACGAAGCCATATATAAACCACAACAACAAAAGCCATAGAAAAGTATTCTACTTGTCCGAGAGATATTGAACAACATATATAAATAATATGAGGTTGTCTACATACACATCAATAGACAACGATTAATAGCCATGATCTGTCTCCTCCAATTCCGTTTTCACGAAGAAAAAGAATTTATAAAAGTTGACAGTCATTTATTTGTACGAGGTCTCTAATTTACACCAATTCACACCGTCAAGAAAGTCAATGCACTGTTTGTAATGAACAGCCTTCATATGACTAATTGAACATTGTGACTTATTATTATGCACAGGGTCGATCAGCATGTTCCGTCTAGTTTGACATATATTCGCAGCTATTATTAACGTATTTCATCCAATTTCTAGACGAGTTTATTGACAGGTTGGAACTGCCCCAAATAAACAAGAGGTCGCAATGGCGTTTCAGAGCTGTTGTGATGCCCGAGTCCAGCTCCTAAATTGTATGCTCTGAATCCATTATAATTTCAGTGAAACTAACTTTAAAGAGAGAGAGAGAGAAATGGGGTTTAACGTCCACTCGACGCAAACTATGTCATTTCGGGACTAACATATGGTTTAATTTTATTTCAATAATTCGGTTGCGCATAGGGGTCTTTAGCAGTGGGAGGAAAATGGAGGACCCGGAGAAAAACCCACGAGGTTGGACTGGCGACCCAACTCCTTGTCACGTACAACCAGGGATTCGAAACCACGCCAGTCGACTCAATGACAGACTTTATGATACAGCGCGCGCACGCTAACCAATCAGCCATCCCCCCCCCCTTAACTTTAAAACATACTGAATAGAGTTAAAGTTTTTATTTCATAGGGTTAGTGCTCAGACATGCGAGAAAGGGAGACATTTTAAATTTGCCAAATATTCAAATTAAATATCCCTTGGCAGTTGGGATCGATTTACAGTTACACTGCATGGCGTATGCCCGTTTCCATTAGCTGAGTCGTAGCAGAACAGTAGGACGTTAAACCCCATTTCATTTCATTTCAAATTAATAGGACAGCCTGTACAATAACCAATAAAGTTAACAGCAATAATTTCAAAATCATTAATTAGTTCCCCCTTTTAATTTGATGCCCCACTGAAAAGGGTTATCGGGGCTTTTGCATTATTTTGCATATTATTTAAAACCTTTAAAATCCCCTTCCATATAACACTGACGAGAATGACGTTTTGTAAATCAAATATTAATCCAGCAGTCTGCTATAAAAAAACGAACAAGGTTTCGTGTTTGTGAGACACGTGTGGTTTGGAAATGTGTTTTTTTTATAACGTCGTTTGTTACATGGTTTCACAATTGTGATATGGTTGATAGTAGACAAATTAAACACCGTCCACGTGCCTCTACCTGTCTACCACATGGAATTATTAAAATAGGGTGGTAAATAAGGTCGGAATCAATCGACCGACTTATTTAAATGCTATAAATCATATGCACATATCAGAAAGATAAGTGTGATATTTGTAACTTTCAGATTTAACTAGACTTTGTGACAACGGGGTTTACTCCCAATGGCAAGAACACACAAAGCCCAAAGTAACCAAGATTTCGAATAATTCGTCTTAGATTGATTGATTGATTGTTTAAATCAAGGGAACCACGGTGGCTCAGCGAGTAAGACGTTGGTTAGTTAATCTAGAGGTTCCGTATATGGCGTTTTAACCACTCGGAGAAGAACAGTAGGACGTTAAACCACATTTCATTTGTTTAACTCATTGAAGGTATAAATGCAAAGTTACAAATTAGTCTAACAGAACGCATGCAATATGGCCGGATGTCACCAAAGTAAATGGCGTTTCGATTATATTGTTGCATCAGGTATTTCGAAAAGTATATGCATACCCAGAATCATAGAAGACACTTTCATTTCATTCTGATCAATAATTTCTTGATGGCGACCAGAGAGCTCTTTATATGCAGTTCGATATTTTAGTATGGGTAAACTTTAAGCAAGTATCTGACATAATCCCGTCTATGACTTATCTTTGTGGTAGACCAGTATGTAAAGCTGTTACATGGTTTAGCATGTAAACTGATTAAGAATATTATTTTAGCTTTAATTGTATTTCACTTTAATCTTGTCCATGTATCTTCCCTTAAAATATATTATTTAAACTTAGATCGTCTTTCCCAATATTCCAATGATTTAAA